TATATATATATTGGTATACTTTGAAAAACGAATATAATTTGTAGCATATGCAATAACTATGCACTTAATTCTTCATACTTTAAATATTTCATAGCAGCTAAGAATTTTTCAGTCCTTGACCTTCCTCGACATTTCCTGCGACATTAAGGGTTGTGACCCTCTTTTTAGTTCCACTGGACTTGTTTTTATTATTTACTTTGTGATGCAGTAGTAGTGCTACTGCACACTTTTTAGGTTAAATGTCCTGCTGCGTTGTGGACGGAGGTGTGGCTGTGACATTAGAGAGCTAAAGAGATTAGAAAGGCGTGACAGGCACATGGTGTGGAAGGGTGGAGAAATGGCTTAGTATGGCGTTGTCAACAAAACGTCAGCTGAGGGGGACTGGCTCGTAGTCCTGACACTGGAGAAGCTCCCCTCTGTAGAATCAAAGCAAATAGAAATACTTAAATACATCCCACTTTTCTTTTTTAGTGCTAATCATAATGCTTTTCTCTAACTTTACCATTTCAGCAGAAGACTGGTGGAGACTCAGAGCTAACAGAGTAATTAATGTTTTGATAAGATTAAAATCAGCTGTGCACTCTGAATGTCTATAGTTCACGTTAATTGCAGACTATTTTATAACTGTCCATGACCTCTGACCTCTCAATAAAAATAAAAGCTCCTTAAAATAGTTCCTGCTTCTGTTTTATTGTGGGTATGAGGGACTTAATAGGAGCTTGCACTGTCTTTTGTCTGATGTGAGTACAAACACTGGTTCTGATTGCTTTAGTTCTGTGGTATCTTGTTGGCTGTCTGTGGGCTGGTCTCAGTCCTCTCCCCAAAAGAGGCTATGGAGATTCTGACGTTAGACGCTAGCACTCCTTATAAGCACCTGTCCATTCATGTCACGCCATGCTCCCAATAGGAAAAGCGTGTGATTGTTTTCCGAATGAGACAGTGTGCGTAGATAGTAAAGTGGTACTATATATCCTGCATATACAGTTCTTTTCTTCATTTCACTGCAAGCAAGACAGCCGAGGTTTGTTGTTTTTCTTCCAACATAATATGGAGGTAAGGGATCATTTTTCCTAATGTACATTTGAAATAGTATGTTTGATCAGTTTAATAGTCAGGTATAAGTTTGGAGTTCAGAGTAGATTTTTTAGCATTTTTGTTGTATATTAACAAGAAACAAAGACATTTATTGACAGCTGTGTGTATTTAAAATCTGATTTTTTCCCATGTGCTTAAAGTAGTTCTAGAAATTTAGAAAACCTCATAAAGAAATGTCTTATGATTTTAACAGCTTATATATTTAAGAGAAAGGCAGTCTGCTTTTATATTCTTCGTGTGTGCACATTTTCTTTAATTTGGCAGAAATGGGGACATAAAGCTCTAGAATACATGTCCTTACTAAGTTTTAACATCTGTTGGATAGTGCATTTTAGGACAAAATCTTTAAGCCTTAAAATATGCTTTAGATAGTGAAATGTTTAGGAAGCACGCAGAGCTTTTTCAGATTTGTTTTGATCACTTTAATTATTCCTTCTGTTCAAAGTAACCTAACCTTGCCACTGTTCAGTGATGGGTGATACAATCCAAATCCAATCGATACAAAAATGTAACCCCGCTTATCTGAAGGCAATAAGGTGCTTTGGCAGTGTGAGCAAAATTATCAGGTGTATTTACTCTTTGCAGTGACAAACTGCAAGTGATAAACTGACAAAGTTTGGTAATTAAGGAAGTGTATTATTGAGATTCGCTGCCCTAGTTCATCAAACATGGACAGTGGAATCATCTCATTAGCTTCAATGCACTGATTTTGATTAATTTGATTTTGTCACCTGATTAATGCTGTGTCAAGTGTCTTTATGAACGTGTTCGTACTAGCACTTGATTATAATAAGCAAGAATCTATTTTTACTTACTGCTCTGTACTCTCCAGGTGGCACCTTGTGCCCAGGAAGTTGGTAGACATGCGGCATTACTGTTGGCTTATCTGAACTTGCAGAGAAAACAAGGCCACTTTTGTGACCTTGTGCTCAGACCGGGACAGAATGCAGGTCAACTTTACCCCGCACACAGGTGAGAAAAATAAGCTAATAACAAACAAACACACCAACATATACATATCATCAAACTGCCCAATGATATCATGATTATACTAACAGTGTATGTCTTACACGATGTTCAGGATTTCAGACCTCACCACAAAACTGCTCTTTGTTCCCCCAGATGTGTGCTGGCAGCCTCTAGTCCAGTGTTGGCATCTGTCTTGTCCTCTGCTGGCGCTCTGGTGGAGCTGCAGGCCAAATGTCTCTCTGACTCTGTATTAACACCTCTTTTGGACTATATTTACACAGGGGATTTGCCCTACAGTTACGGCCAGCAACAGTATTATAGTCTGCTCACAGCTGCCTGCTACCTGCAGATGGATGAACTGCAAAAGGCTCTGAGGGCTCAACAGCAGACTGAGGTTTGCACTGCAAATGGCGCAGAGGCTTCTGCTGAAGCTGAAAAGAATTCTTATAGGACAACTGTGAATACCTCCCCTCATATGCCATCAACATCCAGCATTTTTACCTTTAGAAAACCTGACAAAACAAACATCTCCAGTGAACAAAGTATGACAACTTCACCAGACAGCGATATTCAGTATCAGGATTCAGACAATGTGGATCCGTTTAGTGAAAGTCAGATGCTCTCAGCTGCTATGGATTGCAGCACTGATGAAGTAGAAATAGATACAGGTAGAAATAGCAGAGACCACTGCAGTGGAAGGGATGCAAGGACTTTAAGCTATCCAAGTGCACCCTGTGGTATACTTGAAAGAACTGAAAGGAGCACAAATGCAGGACATGCCAGACAAGCAACTTATCTAACGCCACAGCATTTGACTCTGAATGTCCCTAGCATTGCTGAAGTGTATCACACGTCTAAAGTGGACAAAGAGGCGGAAAAGGATCGGCTTAATCCAGCTGGCATCTGGCAAAGGTACACAGGTGACACTCTGGTGAGGACAGCTGAAAATAGGAGGAGCTCATCTTCATCCCCACATTCATATTGTGCGGCAGTACCTGTCATCTGTCACAGCAGCAGAGCAGCTATCCCCCAGCTAGCAGATGTGTCTCCTGTGTCTCCCTGCCATTCAGCCCTCCAGACTTCAAGCAACTCCAGCAGGTCTCCAGTCTCACGTTCAGCGAGCATAGAAAATGACAGCATTATTGAAGGTATTACATCTAAATGCAAAAGTCAATATCAAGCACAGAGCCAGGAATACGGCCACAATAAAAAACACACTATTACACTAAATCTGAATAACAAGGATAATTTAGATCAATGTGCTTTACAAGATTTATATTACAAATCCAGTGGAGGTAGATCTCATTTTGACAGCAGCGATTCAGATCATTTTACAATGCAGGGCAATGAATGTGTTGACAGAGGATCATCTCACTTTACCAACAATAATGATCAGCATGCTTATTGTGATTCCTTTCAGAAAAATACACACAATCTTAGAGAAGATTCAGTGCTGCAGAGTAAGGACTGGAGTCAAGAATTGAAGCATAAAATTGATCTCAGGTTTGATGATTTCTCAACCAAAAAAAAGCAGCTGGATTTCTTTGAATCCTACAATGTCAGCAAATTGGCAACAGCAACAGCAGAACCAGGAGGTCTGAGAGCTGAAGTTCCACTTATTGCTCATCCTGTGGAGGACTTAAACACAGAACATCTAGGTCCAGAGGAAGAGGTGAAAGAGGAACACAGTTACTCTAATAGAGTTCCAGCTGAAAGTGATATACAGGACAGCCACTGCAACTATGAACCAAAGAAAGGGTACTCAAACATATACAGAGCTGACACAAGTGCAAACAATGCTCCTTCTAACCATGATTCAAACTACAGTCCTACAGCGGTGGACACCAAAGAATACCTTGCTGATAGCTTCCCGAAAGCTCTGCAAACTGAAAAGACCTCAGGCACTGACATCACAGAATCACATTCGATTTTTACAATGCCTGCGGACAGAAACATGTCTGACACCAGTGTTGACAGTGCTGTGAGACACTCTTATCATGGACATCTTCGTTATCATTGCCTACAGCATGATGATATGCAAGAGGATGTGCACTTATTGCAGGGTGGTTCTGATCACAAACGCTCCCACTTAAACCACTTTGATGATTCTGATGGTTCAAGTGAGGAGGAAGACTTTGGTGCCTTTGAGAGTCCCCTAAAGCAGCACTACAGCTCAACAGAGACTACAGACCAGTTTCTTCTTCTGGATATTAGCACAAGACCTGCAGAACTACTAGTATCCTGCAAACACCGATCTGGCATAGAAGAGAAAGGGGATATGTTTGAAACTGGAATCTGGGCATATGATGGAGCAGAGAGGTACGAAAAAACATCTGTAGCATCTGTTGAAATGAAAACATTTACGGCTAGGGCTAAATTTGGAACTGGGAGACTTGATATGGGTGGCACACACTGGGCTGCAAAGACAAATGCTGAGGAAAGAAAGACTGTTGTTCAAAGTAGTCCAGCTGTTGAGACTATTCAAAATTCTTGCATTGTGTCTGAAGTTTCCAACCTTAAAGAAGGTGAGAACCAAACCATTACCTTGACACACTGTTCACCTCCTGGAGTGTCAGACTCCATGCAACCCTCTGTGTCTTTTTGCATGGCATCTGGGCTTTCAACCAGCATGCCAACCAATAGATCAGCTCATCTGTCATCTCCTGTTCACCACCCATTCCAATGCTCTCTATGCGACCGTTCCTTTAGCCAGCGAGGTTCTCTAAATAGACATGTGCGGAGCCACCTTGGTGTAAGGCCCTTCCCCTGCCCCCGCTGCCCTATGACTTTTTCACGCCAATACCGTGTCACCGAGCACATGCGTGTTCATCAGCGATGTACCCCTGGGAATGATTTTCAAAAGCCTCCTGCTTCATCAACTTGAGACTTTGAGGAAA